GAATTGAATATTTTGATCGATGAGCTTCGTCCAAAATGGTTGGTCTAAGATTGCCAATCTTAGGTATCCAAACTCTGTTTCCTAAATAATACGCTCCATCAGACTTCATCTGAAATTTGGACTCTATGCCATGCAAAATTTCATTCTTCAAGTTCTCCTTCTTTAGAGCTTCTTTTTGATCCAACAGAATTTGGGCTTTCAAACTGGTTTTCACTGAGGCTCCCAAAGCTCTTACCCTTAACGGTTTTACTCTTTCTTTTCGGCTTAAAGCATCGGCCACAACATTGGCTTTGCATGGATGGTATTTGATCTCACAATCATAATCACTAAGAAATTCAACCCATCTTCTTTGCCTCATATTCAACATTTTCTGATTGAGGATGTGTTGAAGGATTTTATGATCAGTGTAGATGGTGCATTTTGTGCCATAGAGATAGTGCCTCCATATCTTAAGTGCAAATACCACTGCTCCCAACTCAAGGTCGTGCGTAGTATAATTCTTTTCATGCACTTTCAGTTGTCTCGAGGCACAGGCAATGACTTTATCTTTCTAGATCAATACACAACCTAACCCTTGATGCGAAGCATCACAAAAGACTATGAAGTTTTCTGAACCCTCAGGTAGAGATAGGATGGGTGCATTGCACAACTTCTGCTTGAGAGTTTTGAAGGCTTCCTCATGCCTCTCACTCCAAATGAACTTCTTATCTTTTTGGGTTAAAGCAGTGAGCGGCTGTGCAATTTTTGAAAAATTTGCCATGAATCGCCGGTAATAGCTTGCTAACCCAAGAAACTGGCGGATCTCTGTAGCGGTTCTCGGGGCTTCCCAATTTCTAATAGCCTCAATTTTGGCAGGATCCACCTGAATTCCTCTCTTGTTAACTATATGGCCCAGAAACTGAACTTCCTTTAACCAGAATTCACACTTGGAAAATTTGGCATACAGCTTCTCATTTCGGAGTACTTCCAAAATCACCCTTAGATGACGCTCATGGTCCTCTCGGCTTCTTGAATAAATTAGTATGTCGTCTATGAAGACGATTACGAATTTATCCAGATAAGGTCTACAAATCCTATTCATTAAATCCATGAAGACGGCTGGTGCATTGGTTAGCCCGAATGACATAACCATGAATTCCTAATGGCCGTACCGGGTCCTGAAGGCTGTCTTAGGAATGTCCTCTTCCCGAACCCTCACCTGGTGATACCCGGATCGTAAGTCAATCTTGGAAAAATAGGCTGCCCCTTGAAGTTGATCGAATAGGTCATCGATTATAGGGAGGGGGTATCTATTCTTGATGGTTAGCTTATTGAGCT